GCTGGCAGAGGAAGTATGGGAGGCAACCCACACACTGCGAAATATCTGGAGCTTTACTACACTGGTTGCATACATGTTAAATGCATATTGCACTGACCCCACAGCTACAACGCAGCATGTGCAGCACAAAAGGCTAAACTACAGCAGTTCAACACATTTTAATGCTACTGAAAGTAAATGAATACTGAATTAATTCACGTCTTTGATTGGTATCACTGCACAGCTATGATTTCTCTTCAATTAAAACACCATTCTGTGAAAAGGCCGTCAAACAAACAGAGCTCAGCAGCACCACTGGGTTAAAAACAACGTATCATCTTACTTTTCCTGTGGAGTGCTTTGATTCAAGTGCAGTCAGTTATTACCTGAGAGTAACAAAGATGCTCATTTCTATTAATAACACTGCCAGCGCTCAGTTCAAATTATGCCAAGTGATTGATGATGTCTGCCTACAGGATATTTGACGGAGCCTCACACTTCATGTGGTTGTCCAAAAAAAAAAAATCCCAATTACGTCAGAGGAGGATACAGCCTGAATGAATACGACTTTAAACTCAACCTCTACTGATTAATGCAAGTGGAGCTCTCAGTGCCTCACATATTTCACCCTGAACTATAGATACTGGTACACATTACACATTTAATCAAAGGATGTAGAAGGAAGAAATATGGTTAAATGGTTAAATGGTTTAAAACATTTTTTTTGTAAGAGTAAGGTCACAAGTTTGATCCCCACAGCGCCCAGTGTGTCCATCCACAGACGAGCTGAAATACTCTCCTTCTTTCTGCTAAATAACACATAACTGAATAATTACCAAACAAATAACCCTTTTATATCTTTTATTTGTGTCACTTTGCTTTTGTAAATTAGGGTTTTTTTTAAATATAAATCAATAATAAAACAATAAACCTTATATTTATAAAATTTGATTGTGATCATTTTGTAAATTAAACTGGCAGGACAACAAGTTATAAAAATATATATATATAAATGCTGCATCCTGCTGCATAGCTTAATTTAATCAGGTAGAGTACAAATAAAGTAAACCACACTCATTTCCAAAGAATCTGTTACTTATGTCAAGAAACAAAACAGCCGGTGCCGGTTTAATGATCTGCCTGAGCTCCTTTTACAATGTGGGTTACACACTGCTTATCTTAGAACAAGGTCTCACTATCTTTAACCTCCTCAAAATTGTTTATACATATGCAGAATATATCAGAACATAGGGAGAATTCAGTCTCCTAAAATTCTCACAAACGCCTGGAAACTGTGGACGTCTTCCCTGTGTCGTTCACCGATATCACTTTTACGTAGCTTCTTACACAAGAACAGGTAAACCCCTTGTTTTTAATGTCAGTCCACCGCTGATGTGTCTCAAACATTAATCAGCCAAGATAAAAGTAGGTTACATGAAAAACAGCAGCCGGTGCACAGCTCTGGCGCTTGTGCTCTCCGTGTTCGGTCCAACGTTGGCGAATCTGAATTACAAACACACGGAGAGCGGTGATGAACATGCCAAGTCTAACTCCAGTTCCAAACAGAAAATTCACCAAACACACTTCGCTACTCTCTCTGGATGAAAGTATTACTTTGAGAAGTGGAGCGGGCATATCGCAATGCTAAGCAATCATAATCCGCACTACACTTGCAAGAGGTTTCATCACCAACATTCGCTCCCTATTGCTTAAAAAAAAAAATAGGGGGGGGGGAAACTATATTGATCTTTTTCTCCCTTCCTTCCAGGCATTCCCATTTCCCCGTGCAGCTTAAGCAGCACTTTTGTGGACAAATCCCACATTTGTGTTCCTTTCTGGAGGCTATTAATTGTCCTGAATAGGCGTAACGACTCCCAGGGCACATCTGTGTTGGCCGTACAGAGGTGTTGGTGGCCAGACTATTCTCTACGCTGTGTAAAGTCTTGCCTCGTGTTTCATCAACCTCGAACATCCTCCTCTCCTCTCCTCTCCTCTCCCCTCCACCGCCTGCCCATTCTGAGCAACGCCACTGGGTACGAGCGCTGCACTCGGTTCACCTCTGTGGTGGCCAGCCTTATTTTATCTCCGCTACCTCAATGCAAGAGGCGATAAATCTCAGAGCTGATCTCCACCACTCCCTGTCTCCATCCACACACAATTGCCATCCCCATCGGGCTCTCACGCGGGCCCTCATCTGTTCTGGTTACCTGCAGAGAAAGGCAGAGATGGGCATTACGCTTTATTGCAAAGCCGAGCTTCTGATGTCGGGGCTGGCCTGTCTGCTAAACACACTTCAGTGCCCTGCCCGCATGAACAGAGATGATGAAATAAGTTGGATATCGGAGCAAGAATGGGCAACTTCTGTCTGTTTCGCCCTGCCCATACATACGCTCAACAGTTTCCAAGGTGACTTTTCAAATTGCACAGAGATTCTCCATGGATAATTCATTACCTTCCCTCCGTAAGCGTGCACTCTAATAGGCAGCAAATTTCATCATGTCACACGCGCGCGGGGAAACAAGAGCATCTGCCAACCCAAAATAAAAGAAATGAAGTGTTATGCTGCATTAAATAATGCCACGAGAAAGCTGGCGCTCCGTCGTGTTTAGCATACCATTCAATAACTTAAAAAATAAGGCATTTACAGCACACCACACACACCAACATACCTACTCCCTGCAGCTGCATCTCATTTCAAATACTACCTAAATCATGTGTTGTTTTTCAACTTCCCATACAGCCCATAATTACACATGACCCAATTTGAACAGCCACTCATTGCAGGACTCCATTATAACAACACAGGCATAATATATTGCTTATCATGCATTTTTAAAACGGATTTGACATCGCACTTGACACTTGAGCACTTAGTCTAAATGTACTCACACACCCTACAGTTTGTTGATGTGCATCCTGACAGCGCTGCGATAAAACGCACACTGCCTGCTGAATGTAGATGAGGCTATTGATAAACGCACGGTGGTCATCACTTGATGCTCGTGGCTCGATGAGCGACCTGCACGACAGATCAGCACCATTTCGATCCATCTCCTTAATAACGGCGGCTCGGTGATAAACATCGACCCTTATCCACCGAGCAGACCTTTGTCCGGTGGTGCCATATTTCGGGGTGGATTCTGAGAACGACTAAATGCATGATTGTGATGATTCAGCACGATAATAATAAAAAAATAAAAAAATACCGCTACTTGTTTATTGGCTCTGATGATAAAATAATACTGTGGTTAACTGTCTGGTGTTATAAAAAGCCAAGGGCGGCGGGTTTGGTTTGGCTCTCCCATTGTTACAGTGTAAGCAGTGGTTAAATGGATTGTCACTTCAGGTGAACCAATTCAACACGAAACGATGGTTTACTGGAAGCATTTTCCTAAACAGATGAAATCAACGCATTTGCATTTTAAAGCCGCGCACAAAAAGCCCCTCACGTTGCTCAGATGTTAACCATCACATTCACGTTTGACAGAAATGACATGAGGGGGGGGGGGGAAAAAAAAAAAAAAAGAATGAAAGAACCAACCTGATCTCGCTAAACCGCTGCCTCGGCTCGCTCTTGCTCCCCTTTTCTTATCTTTTTTTTTTCTCTCCTCACAACGAGGTGATGAAGCAGCAGGTTTGAACAGCAAAGAAGCGCATGAGTTGACAAACCGCCACAGAAGCGCTGCGATGCCGTGGAACACGCGACGCCGCGGCCGAACTGTGGATCGCAACGGTAACCTAGTTACACAGTTCTGACATTCCACGACTCTTGTCTCCAGCCTCGCAACGCCTGCTCGTGAAAGTGGCAAACAACTCCCCCCGCCTACAAAACAAGCAGGCGAGGAAATCCCCGAGCTCAGCCTTCCTACTATAACTGTAGCATTACAGCGCCACGAGCCATTCCTCAACCCGCGGGAGGAAATCGCCGTTTACGACATCAACCCCGAAATCTGAATGACATTTTTTTTTTTTTGTTTGTTTGTTTTCTTTATTTCTTTTTTTTAATCGCAGCTCATGAGCGCGTACAAAAGATTAGCTGCCATCTCAGCATAGTATAGGAGCCCGAGCGTCGTCGGTTCCCAACGACTACACAAGCATTTCCGGTACACCCTTTTCAAAATAAACCCATCACTCGCGAGAACGCGTGTGTTTAACCGGCTGAGTGAACGCGGACACTCTTAGTTTGAAAGCCCGCGTCCGATGTACGTCACGCTGACTTGACGAGGGTCGGTGTCGCGAGGCTAGGCATGCTAGCCCACGGAGCTAGCCGCGGCCAGCTTGTCAGCGGCGAGGCGAAGGCATGCACACTCAGCATAACAACACCGACTCTGTTTGGTTTACAGACCCACCTGACTTTAAAATGACGCTCCCCGAAGCCGCTGCTGTCAAGCTCCTCTTCTTCTTCCGTCACGGCGGTGCGCAAACATTAGAGGCGGTTAAATGTCGGTTTCACTGACAGAAGCGACAGCGCTTCCAAATGCCAGCTCGTGCTCTCCTTGTTGATTCCTTTCTCTTGTATCGAAGCCAGACGTCATCGTGTTTGGTCACGTGCCTTCATTCATGAAGGATCTTCTTCCTCACAAGGAAAAAACACTTTAAGCACAAATATACCACCTATTGTTTCCCTATCAGGCGACTGGGGGAAAGTGGAGTGCTTGGCAAGTGCGTACACAAAGAGATCTAATGTGTTTTTCAATATTTCAAAAGGTTTTTGATAAGGTCAATTTCAGAGCATCGTAACATATAGTATTTTGCATATTTTAAAGCACATTTTAGGTAATAAAATATGTGAAAAACATATTTTTTAATTGCATGTAATACCACGTTGTGGAGCTTTCCACTTTACTGCATACCACCTGAACTGTATTGTTAACTGTATACTACCATCAGAAAATACATACAAAGCCATATCAACCACAGATATTGTAGTTATTATTCTAAACCACTAACTGACTGGAAGTGATTACACAGGAGTCAACCCTTAAATAGGGAGGCAACCAATTAGACAAATAAAACATCAATTCTCACAAAGAATTCCATTTTATTACAAAAACAAATATTGCTCACAGTTTACACAGTATCATCACAACTCGTTTGTTTTTTTCCCCCCGAGAAAGTAACCCACTAGATTAGCTTATGTTTCAACACCGATCCGCAAGTAGTGGTTTATTTACAGCATGTACTGCATCTTCACTAATGGGACAGGTTATCGTTAAAATGTGCTGTTTGCAAGAGTTACAAAAATAAAAATGATCACTTCTTTTTAGTCCTTGGGCTGCTGAACATACTGATCCCACGAGGTTTGACTCCAACAGCCTCTGCAGTCACTCCTGGCTGCTGCAACACTTGGTCCAGAGTTGTCTTCTTTATGGCAGCTGGGGAGATTTTCTCTTGGTCGGCCAAAAATTGAAGTTCCCTTTTTAGAGAAGTACAAGAACAAAGAGACATTTACAACATAATATAAAACGTACACATATTTAGCACAACATTGCATCGCTGGTTGATTAGCAACCAGAGAAGACAAACAAAGACAAAACTCTCATTGTAACTAGCATTTGCATATAGCTCCATCTACTGTCCAAGTTATAAATCTCAAAATATATACATCATCCTTTGGTCCACTGAGTATGACAATTAACTTAAAAGCATTTCTTGTGTATCCAAATGACAGGATTTATGATTTGTTAGTTTGTTTGTCTCACACTTTTCTTAACAACTCACCTAGTCCTAACACAGGAGGCCTCCACGGCGTTGATCAGGAGGCTGCGAAAGCCGCCGCTCTCCATGACGTGCAGGGCGTGGATGGTGGCACCCCCTGGTGAACACACATTGTCCTTGAGCTGCCCGGGGTGTTGTTCTGAGTCTAGCAGCATTCGAGCAGCCCCCTTTGAAGAAACACAAATGGAGATTCACGTAAGACTACCACAGAATTGACTACATCATTATGCAACTTGTACCTTTTATCGAGATACTGTATATTCAGTCTGTGTCTGGAACCGAGCAACACAGACTGCAGCTCACACCTGGCAAACTTCTATCTGGATTTATAGATTTTTTACAAGGACAGCAAGGACAGCACTGTTTATATTTTCTTGTGACAGTGTTATAATGGTCCTATGGGCAAAGATAAAGCAGATAAGACTGATTTAAAAAAACCCAACACAGCAAAGCTTGAAAACCTTCATTGACATGGGAAGGTGAACGGGCTCTGAGGTGTTTCTGAGAAACTACGGTGGCTGCGAAACTTGCAAACAACGTAAAAGCTCCTGTTGTATCTACAGCCGGTGTTTGGTATGTTCATTCTGGGCTACTGTAGAAACATGGCGGTTCAACAAAGAGGATGCCACGGAAGGCGACCAGCAGCATCTGTTAATAAAAATGGCTCATTCACCGTAAACACTAATTAAAAGATAAATATTATATACCGTTTCCACTTCATGCCAATAGATGCTCTTAAATGTCACACACTGGACCTTTTATAGCATTTATATATAAAAACCATCAGTATTATAACACCACGAGACAAGAAAGCACTTGCTTGCAACACATAAATCTGTTAAAAAATAAACAGTCCTACCAGCAGGGCCTGGGCTCCGAGGCGTACAGCCAGTCTCCTGGGCAGGCCCATTTTTACTCCACCATCAGCGAGAGCATCTACAGCTGTAAACGCCTGCAAGGCCACAGTCATAATTGTTAGGATGATGAAATGAGGGACAACAATTTAAAAGACACATATTTCACCACTGCTACGAGTTAGGCAAAACTGTGAAACGAACTCAACTTTATATATAACAGACTCACGTAAGCCGGGCCGCTGCCGCTGAGGCCGGTGACAGCATCAATCAGGTCCTCTTCCACCTCAGTGCAGTATCCTACACTGGCCATCAGCTGCTCCAGTAGCTTTCCGTCCTCCACTTCTGCATGGGTGCCTGTGGCGTACACAGTGGCCCCCTCACGCACCACCACTGGAGTGTTGGTCATGCAACGCATTACCTTTGGAGCAGTGCGATACTGGTGCAGCTTCTGTAAGGAATAACAATGTACTGAATGAACTGTCTTGAAATAAAAGAAAGTTAGAAAGGATCATTTATAGTTTTTCACTTTAATAACACGGATCAACGTTTTGTAGATTAGCTTTTTATTTGCCTTTGTCTGACACCTATTACAATATTTTTGAAGACAACATATCTTAGCCTTAAATGAAATTGAAAGGGTGTTTTCAAGTCCAAGCTGCTACCCAGTGTCATGTTACAACATGTGACTGTTTTGCCTGAGGGTCTGCTGAGATCAGAGCCCAGAAATACAGTGAGAGCCTTGTGTTGAAATGAATAAAGCCAGAATTTCACATGATTTAGCCATTATCTAGAGACATGATTGATGATTAACATGTCATATAAAACTACAAGCAATCTGGGATCATTAAAGTGTGCAACATTATAGTTTAAATAATAAATATTTGACTTTTGCAGACGAGAAACCAAACAAGGACTCCATCTACCTGCTGGACATCATATCCACACTACTGGTGCTTTTAATGTGCTTTATTTACCTGAGGTCCTAGCCAAGATATTGTAAGCACTGAGTAAAGACAATCCTATGACTTACCTTCTCTATAGAGCTGATGGTGACGCCTGCAGCACAGGACACAATGAGGTGACGATCTTCGATATTTGGTCCAATCTCATCCAGTACAAAAGGGATGATGTGTGGCTTCACAGCCAGGAAGAGAACATCACTTTTGTCCACTGTCTCTTTGTTGCTGGTGGTGAAATTGACCCCCAATTTCTGTACAGAGGACATTTTATTAAGAAACCCACTGGGCAGGAGTACATTTGAATTTGTTACATTCAAGCAAAGCAATGTTATGTACCCAAAAAACCCACAAACAAAAACCAGTATTCAGAATTAAACAGATGGAATAAAGCATTGATATCCTTAATTGTCTACCCACCCGCAGTCCCTGTACAGTGGGGAGATCTGTGTCTGGGGAGCTGGCTGTGATTCTGTGGGTGGCAATCACGCCTTAAAAAGAGGACAAATGCCCAGAAATAAGTTCAGTGTCTGATTGCAATCAACATACATCAACAACACAAGTCGAATCTGAATCATACAGACATACATACATGGTAGAAGTATGATTCAAACTCACCTGCAGCTGTGAAGCCTCTCACCAGAGCGTGGGCCAGCTGGCCTGCTCCTATGAAGCCCACACTCATTCTACCTGCGTGTGCACACAGTTCAAAACATTAAACTTTAGCAGGGATGAATCCATCTTACCTCAACAAAGAAAGATGATTTTTTTTTTTT